AAAAAAGAAAAAAAGAAAAAAGAAAAAAAGGAAAAAGGAAAAAAAAAGAGAAAGATTAAACAAGGAAAACAAGGACGAAATTAATAAAAGAGAGAAAATAGAAATAGCGGTAATGAAAATGAAATGAGAAATAGTAAAGTAATAGAAAGAGGAAGACGGGAGGAAAAAATGAGCAGGTAAAGTAAAGAAACGAGAAGAGAAGAGAAGAGAAGAGAAGAGAAGAGAAGAGAAGAGAGGAAAATAAAATTTGAAAAATCGTTTTCACACTAATTAGTAACATTTCCTTTTTCATTTTTCGTATTTGTGACAAGATTCATTTTCGCAATATTCGAAGTAGAATTTAATCACTCATTTTACCCTCAAACATATATACACACCTCCTTGCATCACTTCATCATCTCATCTCCTTATCTTGTTCTAAATGGCCTGCTTTTACCTGTTGTTTCTATTTCAGTCTTTCAGTCTATATTTAGAACTTCAGGTCTTTGACGTCATAATCCGCTTTTAGTGTGACGTCAATCCTATAGAAAAACGACTTCCCGGTCCAAAAAGATTGTACCAAGATTTAAATTTTTTTTCTTCATGAGAATTTCTTGTCCAAAGTTCAAATTTTCTCAGGTGGAGATTAAATCACTTTCTCTTTATTTTATAGCAATTTCTGAAAGCATTTAGACCCGAAAATACGTCATCTCCCAAAAGCTTTATAGGGACTCTTTTTATAAGATATGAAAGAAGACAAGATTGGAACAACGTCTGGCTTTATAAAGTCCTTAACATTAACGTAACAGAGCAAATATATTCGAGTCGCCATCGTTTTCTACCGCAAAATCTCTAAACGAAAACAAGTTAAAACTGAGATTTTGAATGAGACCCAGTTGACAATATTTAACGACCACGTTGAAAAGGTAAAGGTATCGTAAAGGTATCTCAGTATGTAAAGGTCGACGACGCTATTATGCCACGGCTCTGAGGTTAAGAAAAAGACTAGGCCGAGTTGGCAGTGCAGTGTATTGTGGGGCTGTTTTAGGGGACATCGTGGTTTAAAGTGAGTTGTTTGTTCAAATATGGCGACTGAAGTTTCCTCCCTTGCCAGAGTATATATACATAAGATCAACATCAGATACCATAGGGAAATTATGTAGGAAAACAAAGGCGCGCGCGAAAAGAAAAATGTTCTAGTGCATTTTTCATTGATTTTTTTTTTTTTTTTTTTTTTTTTTTTTTTTGTTGCTCTTTCGCATTACAGAGGACATTATCTTGATCTCGAATTTTAAAAAAATATTAAATATTTAATTTTTCCGATCTTATATTCACCATTCACTTTAATCTAAATTGGGCTCCCTGTGACTCGACCAGTCCTCGGAATTGCTAATAACAACAGAACAATTAAACATTAGACCTTACCTYCAATGACAGGGTGAGTAACCTTGGACGCCTCCCATCCACTTCTCGGGAAATATTCCCATTTAGAATTCACAGGCTGCCACGGTTTGACCGAACATAACGGCGAAGGTACGGGCGAAGCTCGTGTGCTTTGCGCCCTCCACAATCCCATTGCCATCTCATGCTCTTTCGTTCTCTTCTCCAGTACGTTTTCCACTAACTCCTCACGATAAGACTTCCAGTCGCTCAGTTTTAAATATGTTCGACAGAGCTTCTCATCGCTGGGGTAATACCTTGTTAACTGTCTCATGATCGCGATGCTCTCACTGTTGGCGAATTTTTTAAAACCTTCTTTAGAGATTTTGATGATTTCGCATCCTCTGCTGATGAGGGTGAGTCTTCTTTTATCGGCTGGGATTTTGATTCGTGAGCCTTCTTCTTGGGTGATCACGGACCATGCCCCCTTGAACGAGAAAAAATAGTTTAAACGTAGCACAGCCGTGAGCAGAGGGAGCTCAATAGACCGTTTTCTCAAGGTTGCGTGCGCACACAACTTGATGGGCCACAAAATCGAAAATCGCAAATTGAATAAAACCGAGATTTTATGAATTCTTATCGAAAAATCTCATAGAAATGTATGATAACGACATTATCTTGATTTTAAGAAATCAAAAGGTTCAATCAAGGGTAGTTTTGTATATAATTTTGCCGACGTTTATTTAATTTGAGCTTTCTGTGGAAGTAGAAACAGCAAGCTATGCGGATGCGAAAAAAGCGAGAATGATTTTAAAAAGTTCATAAAAGCCCAATGTAGTCAGACGGCAAAATTAAAGAATTCTAATCCAGTTGTTGGTCTGGTCTGGTAATTCTTTTGTCATCGGCAAATAAACCTTTTTAGCTTTTCAGACCATGTTTCATTCTCTTGAGAATAAGTTAAGATTATTTGTTTGAGTCGTATCCATACATGCGCGCGTATTCCGCGTTACTGGTCTAAGCGCATGCTCAAGAGGTCAAAAAGTGGGATCCTGGGTTGTGAAAATTGCTGTATTTTAATTGTATTTTCCTTATCAAGCACAATTTTCATTAGATATTCAAGAGTAAGAAGCGTTAAGCTAAATCTAAACCAGATATACCAAAATATAGCAATTTTTACGACCCATGATCCCACTGAGTATGTGCGAAATGATACTCTAGAGAATGACACGTGGTCTAAAATCAAATGAGAAAACAGTACGCCCAAGCTAAAGAAGTCTATGGCTTGCTTATGCGCATTTGCCAAAACTCGTGAATAGGATTGAAGAAGGCACATAGTGGTCAGTGTTTGAGCACCATGCATTTGGAGTACAAAAATGAAGCGAACTTGTATCATCAGCTGAAATCCAGCAATTTTGAATGCAATTTTAAATGCTCTTTCACTCCGACAAAGGACTAACGTCCGAAACATCAGTAAGTTTTTTCATCTTTTCACGGTGTATAATTTACCCTTTTATCATTACAATTTCGAATGAAGTTTTTCTTGAGTCTCCGAAATTACTTACAAAAAGCTGTCCTGGTTTCAGCTTATCAACAACCATGTAAACTCCCACTCCAACATCCTCACTTCCTGTACCATTCCTCTTTTCATCGCATTCTGACTTCTTCATATCTTTAGCAATCCTTGTCCTAGAACCTACTACTGAAAATCCTCGCTCCGTAGACCTGTCCTCAGAGCACCGTGTTGTCCTTGAACACGCCGATTTAGTACGATTGCGAATCGATGCAACTTCGCCAGCGTCGGAGCTGTGGATGTTGATCTCCGAGATGGACGAAGAGATAGCCGCATCGTCTTCCTCCTCTGTGTCGTCGGAGAGAAGAGGTTTGAGCATCGGAGAGTTGGGCGATAAATACCCAGCAAGGTTGATACTTTGAGAAGGCAGTATTTTGTGTCCAGCGGAAGATCCTCGATGTCTGTTTTGATGTTTGATGTAGGAATCGCAAGCACTGAGGTCAAGGAGGCGAACAATATCACACTCGCCCTGAAATAGTATGTAAAAAAACAAACCTTCAAGTTTTATCAATATCTTGAAACAACCTCGGGGCTGATCAAAGTCAGGCATAACCCACAAATAGAAACCTGAGACACCCTCTTGGGTGATAGAAGTCAGGACACAGGGCAATTTTTCTGCTTTTTGATTCATTAAAAAAAGGACCATACTTCCAGACATCGACGGGACTTCCAGACGGCTACGCCGGAGATTTCGGACCCGACACAGCTATCTGAAGATTTACAGACTGATCAGGAAGCTCGGCCGAAGCCTAAGGGAGAGGTTAGTCGGCCCCCTAGACCATAGATGATTAACCCCTTGCTATGACCAGCAAACTCAAAAATAGTGATTGCGACGTTGATGGTTTTGAACGCATACTCACTCCTTTCCATGTGGGATGTGTTTAGTAAAATTAAACGGAACGTGCATCATAGTAAATTTGATCTTTTTCAAAGTTTATTTCCTATGTAAACATGATTTTGGAATTTTTACTTTTTTATTCATTAAAAAATGACCATACTTCCAGACATCGAGTGCTGAACCGTCGTATGGCAGCGCGAAGCATTTACGGCTACGCCGGAGATTTCGGCCCCGACACCGCTATCCGGAGATTTACAGACTGATCAGGAAGCTCGGCCGAAGCCTAAGGGAGAGGTTAGTCGGCCCCTAGACCGTAGATGATTAACCCCTTGCTATGACCAGCAAACTCAAAATAGTGTTGCGATGGTGATGGTTTTGAACACATACTCACTCCTTTCCATGTGGGATGCGTTTATAAAAACTAAAAGGAAGGTGCATCATATTGATCTCGGATTTATTCAAACTATTGATCGATCTAAAATGTACCTAGTGTGAACGAGTCCTTACCTTGATAATGAGGAACAACCAGCCTGATTTATTGGAATCTCTAACCAGCACCTCCTCGCTGTGGTATTCGTGTATCCGACTGATTTCGGCAAGAATTCGTATAGTACTCGTTGGCCACGTTGCAAAGATTGGATGATTTCTATGAAGGATGAAATAATTTATAAAGACGCACTCATTCACTTCCTTCAACTCTGCTTTAACAAAAATCTAGAGGCCGTTTACGTGAAGCTGCGTTGACTCTGATGCTAGGGCAAACCGTTTTGTTTTGGTGCTCACTGAGGAAAGAAAAGAAAAGACTTGTTCCTAGCACGGGGCGAGTCAGTCTACATGAAAGGCCTCATACTTTATAGGACTCTAAAAGGAATATTACGCGCCGGCTTATTGAAGGAACATTAAAATGTGCTACCTCAGAGAATGAAGCACGATGATGACGTCATCATCAATTCGCGACGTCGCTCATGCCTACATTTCTTTAGTGCTCACTTCCTACGTCACTTTCGACGCGCTGTAGTACTGAACAGAGCACCGCTGGAAAGCTTTTCATAGGTTTTTTAAAGAAACTAAACTAAACTGAACTAAACTAAAATCTTTGTTGATGAATTTTCATTAACATTGGCAAAAATCAACTTCTAAATTCTAATTCGATCTTGGGCTTTCACTTAGTTTGGAGCCTAGCTCTGTTGTGATTGTCTCACGCTGTGATACAACAGCGAAAAGCTTTGTAGATTTCATTTTTTTTAAAAAGTTTAGATTGAAGCGTCCTATCATAAATAGCTCAACAAGTGAAACATGGCAAAAAGCCAGCGTGTACGCAGAATTATGCCGGCGCAGGAATACGACGCGTACGCATTACCTTAAGAAGTCCACCCTTCTTTCCAGGTCTCTAGTGAAAGTCTTGTCTATCCCAGACAAGAAGAAATCCTCTTTATCCATGGACAGTAATTCTGTCCTCTCTAAACAAACTATCGTTGCTCCACGTCTGAAATTCTTTAAGAAAGCTAATTCCTGGAACGCGGGAAAAAAATTATATCAGATATAATAAGATTTCAAAAAATCTCATGAATAATTCATTAATGTTTGGACCAATGGGAGTGACCGTACACGTTACGTGCATGAACTCGTGGGGAAGGGGGGGGG